CAAAACAAGCCTCCTCAATAACCACCCTCCTCTCCTCCCTCTCCTCCCTCGCCGAAGCCAACCCCTCCCGCCCCGTCCGCGCCCCCCTCCGGATCCACTTCCCCAGTTCAAGCCCGGACTCTTCTTCACCAACAACCATCACCTCCCCCGGCACCTCTGTGTCCAAAGACGCCGCCGCACTGCCTCCCTCCTACTCCATCTCCGCAGCCGCTTTATCCAACATCACCATGCCCAATTGCGACCTCTCCCCCGTATCCAGCCACTCCTCTTCTTCCTTCTCCGACTCTGCCACCGGCCAACATGCCAGGCGCGGCTCAGAAGCGAGTAACTCAGCCGGCCAAATCCCGCATTACCTAGTCGTTGGTCTCGATCTCGATCCTCCGTTTCCTAGTTTTCCCGTCTTGGGACCTATTTTACACTCGCTAGAGGCAGACCTGAGGCTAGAGACCGAAGAACTGGATGCGGACGAGGGGTATGTATACCTAACGGCTGACGAGGTAGCAGGGGGGCCAGAGGGGACTAGGCATGTGGGAGGGAGGGTGACAAAGCCGGTGGTTGGGTATATGGGACCGAAACCGCCTGGGGTGAGCGCGCCGCATCGGTATGTGTTTTTGTGTTGGGAGCAGCCGGGGGGTGTGGATGCGAGGAGGGTGAGGGAGGTTTTGGGCTTGGGGGCAGAAGGGGATGAAGGGTTGGATGGGGAGGTGGGAATGACGACGAGGGTGAGGTGGGATCAGGAGGGGTTTGAGAGGAAATTGGGGCTGGGAGAGGTGGTGGCGGGGAATTATTTTGTTTGTTGATTGTTTACGTGAAGGAAGTGGTAAATGGGCGAGGGAAGATGAAGATGGAAACGGATGGGTCCAGGATCGCAGCAGGGGAAGGTGGAAGTATTTGATGATATTTTAGAGGTTTATACGCTACCCCTGAGAGCTGCGATCGTTTGTGGGTGTAGCTGGGAAGATGGTTTGGTTCGATCGTGAATCCAAGATTGTAAGAAAGACTGTAATATTACTTACTATATTTGTGTGTCTTCAGATGTTCCCTCTTTGGGTTCAGATCCCTTCAAACCGGTATACTGGATTCCATATCGATTTTCACGCCTCCGTTATCACACATCACGTTCAGAGTTGACACTTGCCACTCACACTACCATCTTGCCTCCTATCGACTTTCAATTCAGAGAACGAGACTCAACACTAATCACCGGTTAAACTTAACCCTGGCATGGGCGAGTTGGCAACTTTTTGCTACCCATCTTTGTTGGAAGAGATTTGAAACATGGTCAACTTACTCACCCCTTTGTTCTGTAGCAGTCCAGCCGGGGCAGGTAGTTTTATGGCACGTTATGTTGACAGTTACGGTGCCTCTTCGCGACGGTGTAACCGCTTCAGGGGGAATGCCGACCCCAATGGCGTCAACAACCAAGCACTTGTTGCCACTGATAAGTTGACGAGGTATCGGGATTCCTTTTCCACACCGGGGCAAGATCGTTTTCCGGTGCTCTGGCTTGGCTGGCGACGTTCCTTCCTTTACCGACGCGGGATTCAACCATCAGTGGAAGTCACGACGCTTTCCGCAGGAAGTCTGTCTGCATCGGCATGCCTGCGTTGCACCTTCCCGGAAGTCTGGGTCGACAATGGAAGTCACGATGCACCGTACAGTCGTGCAGCATGTAGCACTGGACGGAAGGTGCATCCTACATACCTGCTCCGATCTTGCATTTTAGCAAAATTTTGACATGGCTTGAAATGCAACTCCTAAGTCTTCTTCTTTTTAACTGCCTTCTTACTCGTCTTCATCAACATCATCCAAACCATTCTAGAGGTAGAATCAAGCGATCCTCGAAGCCTTCTTCCTCTCTTTGATCCTATCCCATCGAATCGGAGACTTTCTCGACTTCCGTTCGAAAGAATAATACGACCTACTCTTCGTCGCTTCAAGACCCCCAACTAGAACCCATTGTTTACGTGGTGCGTTTTTCTGAAAGCAGCTCTGACCTGCGAGCTGTGATGGTTTAGCTTTCGTTTAGCTTTGGGAGGCGTTCAATGGAGTGGATGGCGCAAAGACATCCCTGCAAGCACGCCGAATCTACGAGCGAGAGCAACCACCACCACGGACAACGCAGGCGGAGATAAGAATGACGCCAAAGTCAAAACCTACACCGTTTGATCACATAAACCGTTGTTTGCCGTTGCCATGCGAGCGAACGCCGGTATGCGGCATGGAAATGTTCTGGGTTCCATATCTTCCAACCTCCTGCCACGAGATTCTCCATCGTCAGGAACGCGGTTAAAATTGATAGTGGAGGTGGCGAGCTTTGAATTTGCAATGTCAACGAACTGGTTGTCGTTGACGATAACAGTCTCACAGTCATCCCTCAAACTTGTAGTCACTAGCGGCCGATGTCGTGATGGTGCTAAGCAATGGTGAGATGCAACTTTAGGCTTGGCTAGCTCCACTAAGATTTCTTTGTCGATAACCTTATTTGTTTATCCAAACAGACTGCCGAACTGCTAACAAGGGTCCAAAACGCTCTAAGCTTCTTTGAGTTAACCGCTGCACTCGCAAAAGTCAACGACACCAACGACACACTTCACGGCATCAGTTCCGTCCATGGCTTCGGAGCCCCCCACACACCCATCGCATGGGGATCATCGACATTTCCGCCCGTTTTGACGAATTGTCCGCGTTTGGAACGACGAAAAAGAAAACTCAGCAACGCAACCGAGGACGCGGAGGGGCTGTCAAAGTTCTAGCCTCCCCCACTTCACATTGCATCTACACGCAGTAGAGTCACACTTGCGGAGTGTGCATGTGCAGTGTATGCGAGGCGAACCAAGGGTCCGGAATCAGCCCAGCCATCTTTGCCGCCGTTATCGTCTTGCAGCCATGAAAATGGGGAAGGGGGTGTAGGAGGTGGAAGATACATAAAGATGGGCGATGTCCCGGTGGTTTGGTGTGAAAGACTGGATCTGCCTCATCGATCTTGTTTTCCATACCCGGGACTAGCTACTGGAAGGCAGATAAGATGTCCTCAACAGACAACAAAGAAAAGAACGTCGAGCTCGGCCCCGTCGAGACGGGGCCAGATGCTGACGAGCACCAAATCACCAAGCCGGTATCAAAGTTCACTCGGTGGTACCGCAGCCCTCTGTTCAACGTCATCATGGTCGGTCTCATCTCGTTCACCCAGCCCGGTATCTGGAACGCCCTCAACAGTACGGGCGCCGGTGGTGCGCAGGAGCCATACTTGGTTAACGGTTCCAACTCTTTGACCTTCGGGTACGTCTCCCTCTTACCCATCCCCACTATACCAGGAAGACTAACATTTTCACCAGTATTATGGTCTTTGGTTGCTCCCTCTTCTCCATCCTCTCCAACAAAATCGGCATCAAATGGGTTCTCATCATCGGTACCCTCGGCTATGCGCCCTACTCTGCCTCACTCTATGTCAACAACCGCTACGGAGTTGAATGGTTCGTCCTTTTCGGTGGTGCTCTCTGCGGTATTGCCGCGTCCGCCTTGTGGGCCTCCGAGGGTGCCATCGCACTTGGTTACGCCGACATCAAGGATCGCGGCAAGTTCACAGGTATCTGGCTCGGTCTGCGCGAGTTGGGTCAGCTGATCGGTGCTTCGATCCAGCTTTCGCTGAACGTGAAGCAGGAGGGCAGGGGCAAGGTTGGGTATACCACTTATCTGGTTCTCATTGCGCTGCAGTGCTTGGGTCTGCCGTTTGCGTTGCTGGTCTCTTCGCCGCAGAAGGTCATCAAGCCGGACGGCAGCCGGTTGAAGGACCCGACCCTGAACAAGACCGTCAAGGGCGAGTTCAAGAAGATCTGGAGTCTGTTCAAGAGGAAGCAGATGTACCTGCTGGTGCCGATCCTGGTTGGATTCCAGTGGAACAGCACGTATCTTGGCATTTATATGACCAAGTAGTACGTTCCCCTTTCTTTCTCGATTTTATGCAGGCCTAAACTAACACACCCAACAGCTTCTCCGTCCGCTCCCGCACTCTCGGCTCCCTTGTGTCTGGCATCGCTGCTACCGCCGCCAACATCTTCTGGGGTTGGTTCTACGACCGTCAATCCCTCTCGCGTCCAACCATCGCTAAAATCACCTGGGCCTTCTTCGTTGCCCTCATGTTGGCGACTTTCGGCTGGCAAACCGCCAACGAGAAGTTGTACGGTGACCTCAAGTCCGCCGGCACCCCGATCACCCTGGACTGGGCCAACCCCGGCTTCGGTCGCGGTTTCGCATCCATGGTCATCCTGCGCTTCCTCAACGAGTCACACTACATGTTTGTGTATTGGCTCATCGGTGCTTTCTTTGATGATATCGAGACGCTTGGCCTCGCCGTGGGAATTGTCAGGTCTTTTGAGTCGGTTGGCTCGTGCTTGGCATTTGGTATCGGCGCGGCTCAGGTTGCGCCCATGGTCAACTTGATCATTGCCTTTGCCATGTTTGGTTTCACAATCCCGGCGACGACGGCAGTGGTGTTTATGGTGCCGGAGAGGCCGATCCATTTGAGAAAGTTGGAGGATGGTAGCACTTCTGGGTCTGAGGGCGAGCCGGAGGTTGTCAAGAACTCTGCGAGCATTGAGGGCTCTGTGACCGCTCCTGCTGCTTCTACGGATGCGAAGGAGAAGGATGGAGCGCAGGCGCCGGTTTATGAGTTGAAGTAATGGGCATGGATGAATGGGAGAAGAAGAAGAGACGATGAAGGAACGGAAAAGCAGGAATATGATACCCGCCTTGAATGGCCATTCTGGGACATTTGAGGCTTGAAGCTAGAAATTACATGGCTAATGATAATAATATGAAGTGTTATAACAGTTGTTGTCGAGATTCGATGACCAAGATTGTCGACGACAAGATGGAAGAACGCCGTGCGCAACCTTCCATCCCATGGTTTGTCGCAAGAGCGATTCGTAAATGAGCTATGCCCATTTAGGCTAGTTTCTTTGAGGGGTGGATAACGACAAACGAATCGAACCAGGATTGGTTCCGTGGCTCACTGGTTAGAGCCCACACCTCTTCAAAGAGGTCATGGGTTCGAATCCAGTCGAGATCGGATGAAAAAAGTTTCATCCCTCATCTTGTGGGGGAGCTGTCCGGGCAAGCCCTGGGCACTCCTCCCATGGTGAGTTCCTACCTAGTAGCGTATATAGCGAATAAATAATCTTCAGCGATTCGAGAATATGAAGCGAAATTTGTGACGAGCGATAATATCTAGCGACAGCCGACAACCACCAGCGACGACAACCACCAGCGACGACAACCACCAGCGACGACAACCACCAGCGACGACAACCACCAGCGACGACAACCACCAGCGATACCGACCAGCGATACCGACCAGCGAACTTCGACGACAACCCAGCGACGACCACCAGCGACAACTACCAGCGACAACTACCAGCGAATCTACCAACTCATAGCGAGTATCTACTAACCAAGCAGCGTACAGCTGGGTTTTCTTCCCCAAGAGGGTTTTCCAGCGAGGTAAGTTTTTTGTCTTTTTGCCGTTTTTTACATTTCCATTTTTTCCTATTTTCCCCTTCGCTCACCTGGATATCAAGCACTCTATAGTTTGAGGTTTACACCCATAAGCTACCCTTAGGTTGTCACGGGGTAAATACCTCTACAATATCTGATTCCAAAGACAATGCCCAAAGATGGAGAGAGATATCATAGGTATAAGGCGGAATTAGAAGTCCGGATCCTGAACAACCTGTGGAAGCCCATGTTTGTGCTGGCGCAATCACCATGCTGCGACCTCGATTGCGTGACTGGCTAGCCCAATATTGACATTGCAAATGTTGGGTTCTTGTTTGCCCCTTTTTTGACATTGTCAAACTTGTGAGGAACCGTTCACGCTCAACCACGTTGCTTGAAATCGCAAGTCATTGCTGTTGGCAGATAAAACAAGGCGAAACAAATGTAACAAGAGTCATTCTGGTGGTTGTGCCTGGTTCGCAAAACTCGGCAATCTCGATTCTTCGCACAGATGGTAACGGCACAGACGGGAAGGAAGGAGATGCCCCTGAGCGGCCCGGGAATTCAGGGAATGAATGACAGGGCAAAAATAGGGATGCAAGTATCAAAGCAGGTTTCCTTTGGGGACGAAGGTGTACCTCTGCGCCCGGCGATACATAGAGACGGTACCTGCCAAAGAACATTCCCCTAAAGTGGGTCATACCATTCTGGAAGCCCAGCACGCCCAGGGGTCGCGTGGATCCTGCCCTGTCAAGTGGAAGTCAGTCACCCGCGCCTTTGGTTCGGGTTCCCTTGACCAGGGCCGTAACAAGCCGTTGTTTTTCTGTAGTCTTTCTCTCTCTTTGTTCCGAGTCATTTTGTCTTTTCTCTCCAAACCTCCCTTCATTTGCTTGACAACTTTTGCGCTTGGACATACTTCAGTTCGAATATCAGGAGGCGAGCGCTGCTATAATAAAAACAAAGAAGGGAATCGCTCAACTGTTCAGCACAATATTATAATATTCAAACGGCTCCGAAACGAGCGACAGAGCAACAGAGCGACATCGGGCGACAGACGGATATAATATACCGAAGCATACCTCGAGAGCATACACTACCAACATCATCAACCATCCAGAGTTCCACAAACAGCAACAGCAACATGGCAGCAGAATCCCTCCTCCGCACCCTCCTCCGGCGCAAAGTCGAATTCCTTCGCTACGCCCGTCAGCGTCGCCAATACTCAACCAAACCCCCATCACAAACACCAACAGGTGAACAAATCCCAACACCAGGCAACGTCCCAACCTTGCCCTTCTGGCAGCGCCTCGGTCCTTTGACCCGAGCAGCCTTCGCCTACGCACGCGCGCAGCGCAGGAGGCCGTACACGACGCAGGTGTGCACCTCGTTGGTGATTTATTTTTTCTCGGACATTTCGGCGCAGAGGATGGGTGGACGGGATTACGACCCCACGAGGACGGTCAGGAGTTTGGTGATTGGAAGTATTTCGTCGATTCCTAGTTTTAAGTGGTATGTCTCCCCATTTTCTTCGGTTTTGATTGCCCCGTCTGGGATGCGCGCGCAAGAGGGGATGGAAGACTGACAGAGACATAAATGGGCAGGACCCTCTGGCTCTCCAACAACTTCAACTACCCCTCGCGCATCCTATCTCTCGGCACGAAGGTGGTTGTCAACCAAATCTGCTTCACACCAATCTTCAACTCGTACTTTTTCGGCATGCAGGCTGCTTTGGCCGGGGAGAGTTTGGAAAACATTGTCGAGCGCATCAGGGTCACGGTGCCCGTCAGTTTCGTCAACTCGTGCAAGCTGTGGCCGGCCGTGACGGCGTTCAGCTTTACGTTTATTCCGATGGAGTATAGGTCGTTGTTTGCGGGTGTCGTGGCGGTGGGGTGGCAGACATATTTGAGCTTTTTGAATCGGAAGGCGGAGGATGGGAGGGCGATCGAGCCTGCGCAAGAAGTGAAGATGGTTGAGGCGGCGCCGGTTGTGAAGGAGGCGACGATACCGGCGCGACAGGAGATGGCGACGGCGGTTGCGAACTAGGGGTATATCGGCGATGGAGAGAAGAGCGCGCATTTTCACCGGGGAGCATTGAAGCATCATACGGGGACGTTATTTTGGCATTTCGGGGCGGTTGGGTGGTTGCATAGAACATCATTGCATGGGTCGGCGTTTTTGGGTGGTTGTCTTTTTGGTTTGGCATCGCGACATGGAGATATCGTGTCAGTTGAGCGAATACACGTTTGGATGTTTTTCTTTGGTTTTTCTTGTCAGAAATGTTCCGGGTACTGGTAAGACGGAAGCCACGGCTGATGCTGTGTCACCATCCTCAAAAGAAAGGCGCCTTCCATCCCATCCGTCTTGAGACGAAATCAGGGGCACATGGCAGTGGGTGGATGGTCCCTGAAAGCTGAAACCGTAGAGGGAAGTTATAGTGGGTGGAGTCAGGTACCCGCCCATTCTCCAGTTGACATCAGCCCAAATTCAGTGGGGCCTCCGCTCTCGGTGAGTCGGGCAAGAAGCTGGCGGGGGAGCCCCGACCGCCCACGGGACACGGCACCGGACAACGGCTGGAGCTTCGGTACAATTGAGTTTGTGTAAGCTGAGCTTGGAATTGGAGCTTGGGTGAGGTTCCGGCTCGGAGTCGTCCCCGTCCCATCTAATCGTCATCGTCAACTCCACCACCCTAGCTTCCTCGCTTCGAGTCACAAGCCAACCTTTCTCCTCCGCAAAACATTGAGTGTTGGCTTGGTCCAGCAAACACTCGACAGCCCTCTTCACAATGGCCGCCCCTTACCTCAGGACGAGACCTGCCCTCTCAGCGGCCCTCCGCCCTCTTGCGCCCAAGCCAAGATTCCAGTCTTTTCCTCGTCGCCCGAACTCGACGACAACGACACCCTCGACAAACACCGAAATTGCTACTCCCACCGAACCTACCAAGGCTGCCGCCGCCAATGCCTCGATTGTCCCCCGCCGTCTAAAGTTCTCCGCATACGCTTCTGCTCTTGCTGTCGTCCTCGGTGTCGGCTACTACTACGCGACAGACACTCGCGCATCCGTCCACCAGTACCTCGTTCCTCCTCTCCTCCGCACCATCTACCCCGATGCCGAAGAAGCCCACCATGTTGGAACTGCCGCCTTGAAGGGCCTTTATGAGGTTGGCCTCCACATCCGCGAAAGAGTTCCCGAATATCCCAATGGCCCCTTGTCGGTTGAAGTTTTCGGCAAGCAGCTCCTCAACCCCATCGGCATTTCTGCTGGTCTTGACAAGGACGCCGAGATCCCCGATCCCCTCTTTGCCCTGGGTGCCGGTGTTGTCGAAGTTGGTGGCTGCACTCCCTTCCCCCAGGAGGGCAACCCCAAGCCCAGAGTTTTCCGCATTCCCACTGTCGATGGTCTGATCAACCGCTATGGTCTCAACTCTCGCGGCGCCGACGCTATGGCCACCCGCCTGCGCGAGCGCCTTCGCAAGTTTGCCCGCTCTCTCGGCCTTAGCGAGAACCAGGTCCTGAACGAGGAGGGCACCGATGGCATTCCTCCCGGCAGTCTTCACCCCGGTCGTCTCTTGTGCGTTCAGATCGCCAAGAACAAGAAGACGGATGAGAAGGATGTCAACGCTGTCATTCGCGATTACGTCTACTGCGTCGACAAGCTCGCTCCCTACGCCGATGTCCTTGTCGTCAACGTCAGCAGCCCCAACACTCCCGGCCTCCGCGACCTGCAGGCTACCGAGCCCCTGACCAAGCTTCTTTCTGCCGTTGTGGACGCCGCTCAGCAAACCAAGAGGAAGACCAAGCCGAGAGTCATGGTCAAGGTTTCACCCGATGAGGACGATGATACACAGATGGAGGGTGTTGTGGAGGCTGTGTGGAACAGCGGTGTTGACGGTGTCATCGTCGGCAACACCACCAAGCGCCGCACCGGCATCGTCCCCAAGGGCGTCAAGCTGATCGGCGACGAGCCCGAGACTCTCCATGAGGAGGGTGGTTTCTCCGGCCCTGCTCTCTTTGAGCGCACTGTTAGCTTGGTGGGCAGGTACCGTAAGATGCTAGACGGCTATGCTCTGAAGAACGAGGCCGACAAGAGCGCTGCGCAAAAGGTTTTGTTCGCCACTGGTGGCATTACCACCGGTGAGCAGGCCCTCAAGGTTCTCAACGCTGGTGCTAGTGTGGCCATGGTTTACACTGGCATGGTCTACGGCGGTTCTGGCACCATCACCAGGATAAAGACCGAGATGAAGGAGAAGCTCGCTGTCAAGTCTGCGTAAGACGGACTGCTTAGATGACGGGTTTGCTCAGGATATCATGTTGTAGATAAAAAAACGTGCGTCTCACCAAAAATACCCTTCTTCGATGACTTTCACACATGCGCATCTCTTACCGGTTGAAGCAGGCTTCCAGAATAAGATATGGCTTTAGATCTTGTTTCCCTTTTCGGTCGGCCCATGTTGCTTCGTATGGCCATCGACAATGCGGTGAACTCCCGAAAGGGGCTTCCAATATGCCGACCCGGGTATCAGGACGGCTAGGTACAGTTTGTTTGTTCGAAACAAGAGCAGACCGCTCCGAGCATTGA